ATGGCTTTGAAAAATAAAGAGAACAACAGAATGCGCTGCTTTAGCGCATCTCGGTCTCCTTGAGCATATTTCTGGTGCATGCCACAAACATGAACCACGGAATACTTGTCTTTTAAAAGGCTTCATTTAGATTATTTGACGTTAAATGCATCATATAAGTCACTTTGGAATAAATCACAGTAGGCCTATGTATCATGATAAAAAATAGCGACTTTACAGTCTAGACATACTTTAGGCTATAGCAAATTATTTCTTGGACCCCCTATCACTTTAAGAACTGCTGGTCTACACAGAAGAAAGACCTGTCTAGACTCTGCCCCGGTCCGAGTTGTGTCCAGCTATTTATTAGCCTGTTTGTTTGATGAAAAAAGATTAAATGTAGTTGCAATAAATGCGTTAAGAATCCATACAACTGCAGCAGTGGAGGACTATTATTCTGCTGCGTGATACTGCGGAAGAACTGATGATGGCTTGGTTTGATATTCGGCTGACCAATCAGCAGAACGGGGCGTTTAATTCCCGCCCACATGTAGAAATCGAATATTCAAGCTGTTTATTAATTTTTCCACCCATGAACGAAAAACGAAAATTTAAGCTGAATTTTTTGGAAAAAATCTTCGGCTGACCAATCAGCAGAAAGGGGCGTTTAATTCCCGCCCACGTGTAGAAATCGAATATTCAAGCTGTTTATTAATTTTTCCACCCATGAACGAAAAATGAAAATTTAAGCTGAATTTTCGTTTTTTGTTTTTTTTGAAAAAAAAAAAAAAACTAAAAAGGAGCCGTTTTCTCATTTTTCTACTTTCAAAATTAAATTAAAAAATGATTGATCAAATGATACACGGATTCATGTATAATTCGTTTTTGAATTTAATATTGAAATCTGAAAAATTGAAAAAACAGCACATTTTTAGTTTTTCATTTGTTCAAACAAAATGAAAAATCAAGAATTCGGCTTCATTTTTTGTTTTTACGTTCAGGGACTTGAATATTCGATCTCTACATGTGGGCGGGAATGAAACACCTCTCTCCGCTGATTGGTCAACCAAACATTACAACATAATAATAGTCCTTAAAAAACATAATAAGAGTCTTTCTACGGGTTCTTAACATGTTTATTATTTCTACTACATTTGATCTCTTTCTCTTCATCAAACAGCCAGATTAACGATTGGCTTGACACAAACCATACGGAGGCAGAGCCTAGACAGAGCTTTCTTTTGTGTAGGTATAAATTCTGCAACCTGCCCATGAAATATTAGTTTATCTCATAAATATTAATTTACTTCGCATCTGCTCTCACAACTACCTACTAGCCTACATCTTTGGCACACCACCTTATTTATTATAGCTAACCACCTATTAAAATATGTGTGGCAAGCTGCGCGATGCACTGCAGCACTGGGAGAATGTATTGTAGACAAGCACAGACCACCAGGATGCGATTTGTGTGTGTGGGGGGGATTTCCCCCCTTCTGGTCAATGTATTCCTGTCTCTGCTGAATTATATTTTTCCCGGTGGGGATAAAAAAAAAAAATTTCATAGTGACAGTGTGACATTAATACACAATGTTTTCACTCAAAACTCACTCTATCGTGGCCTAATGAAGACATTGAAAATAAACTGACGCATAAATGCATTATCAAACAGAACGCAGAACCGTCACCGTAATGTGGGAATTATGATCACGCAATTAAGGACTATTATTATGTTGTAATGTTTGCTTGACCAATCAGCGGAGAGGGGCGTTTCACTCCCGCCCACAGGTAGAGATAGAATATTCAAGTAGTTTACTCGTTTTCTGTCCCTGAACGTAAAAATTAAAAATGAAGCAGAACTCTTGATTTTTCGTTTTGTTTGAACAAATGAAAAAAATATGAGGTAAACGTGTGAATACATGCGCACTTTATATATTACAATATGTGCGCACTTTTGGAGTAAAGCACTGATCAAAAAATATGGAAGCGCAAACTATTGAATATGTTCAGTGACTCGTTAACTAAACCAAAGTCACAGAACTGGTGTAGGCTATCATTCCTGAATGAATCAGTCTTTGAAAGACCCATTTTTATAGACAACAATTCAGTGACCAATTATTATAGTCAGCCACTTCATTTTATTCTTGAATGAATGAAGCAATTTGAACGAATAGATTAAATAAAAGGCTCCTTTATTACCACAATGAAATAGGCTACCGCCACGGCGGCGCCACCTATATTGGCGGTATTACTTTCATAATTCAAGTATCATTTCATTTTGTTCATATTTCTGTATTAAAAATGTTGTATAAAACTCTCATTTCATTATATATTTGCAATTGCTATGTAAATACACATTCAGCCATCTGATCAGCATTAAACTGTAAATACATCTAAAAGTGTCTTCAGACGCAGGCTATATCTCTGAATAGTGATGTAATTGGTAACAGCCTATTGTTATATTATTCTAATTTATTTGATGTAACAATTTAACATTAAAGATTACATACAAAAG